AGGCACTATCAACAGCTGCAACCAGATTTCTGAGAAGGCAGGATGAGGAAATGTTGAATTTGGGGAACTGCTTAAAACATTCGTTGTGTTGACCGATTTTAATTGCTTTTGTTTGATCTTTTCACTGGAAACAGCTGAATGTCTATAAACCTGAATTGCAGGGGGGGAGGGTTGAATGATTTTGTATAGATGATAGATACATAGATAGATGGAATTGATACATTGGAGGTAGGGTTGCACAGATACCAAGTACAGGTACCGATACTTTTGAGCTCCAAGACTGGACTAGACAAAAATTCAAAAATTAGGAGGCCGCTGTCATGTGTAAGGAGCACACGGAGCTCCCGGGATTTGTACATCTCTGTTATAATGTACGATTTTGTTTTTATAAATATAAATAGTCGGGATGCACCAATACCAGTTTGGCGAGTACGAGTGCTGATACATTTGTGTTTCGTCTCATGTGACAGTTTTTCTAGAACAATACAGACTAATGATTACAGGACAGCGGTGTAGCGACGGAGCCCGGTCCCCGCTGCAACCCGTGTAGTTCTAGTGAAAATGCAGAGTATCGGCACTGGTATCGGCGCTGGTATCGGCACTGGTATCGGCGCTGGTATCGGCACTGGTATCGGCACTGGTATCGGCGCTGGTACTCGAAAAGTATCTGTGCGTCCCTAATTGGAGGTGTCGCAGCGAATGTAACAAAACGTGACAGCAGTAATCTGAATGTTAATAAAAGATTTATTGATTGGTTATAAATCTTTTCTGGGCGGATATATTTCCTTCCTCTTCACATTCCTGGGAGCCGCCCGTCGCCTCATCGTCTCTGCAGATCTTCTGATGACAGATATTCATGTTGTGATAAAACTTCTCGGTGTTGCTGTGAAGGTCGCACATAGATGAGCAGAGATTGTCCCACATCCCCTAGCTACACTGCACCGGTCGCCATAGTTAACCCTGGCATTGCCTAAACGCTGTACATTTACAGGCTGCCATTTTGTTGGAGGAAGGGTCAGGTTCTCAGCTGTGACTGGGCCCCCCCCCCCATCCCCCATCCCATTGTGATTTTGGCCTTTCACGTCCATTAATGTCCAGTCTCATCCTTAGCTCCTGTAGGAGTGTTTTTACAGCACCAGCAAACATGCTGTATACATCAGCCTTGACCCTTCACCATCTGCTGGTCATAGCTCAGTACTGCAGCTCAGTGCTGTGTTGTGCACACCTGCGCTCTTTAGTAGGCTTTAAAGTGAGGCCACAGCTTCAATCTTATAGGGTTTGTCTGTCTGTGTATGTCCTGGATAGAGATCTGTCTGTTTCTATCTTATGCCTGTCATTGGATACCTGAATTATTCCTGTGCATCGTTCGGACTGCATCAGTCCTCAGCTAGTCTGTGCTTATCCTGACAAACTGAGGACACTGCCATCAGCCTGCTACTGTCTGCTGTTTGCTCTGACCATCCATGTGACAATCCACGCCGCTCTGGCATCTGCCCTGCCTGTTGTCAGCAGTTGCCCCTGACAATACAGAGGATGCATCTAACTCCATGACACATGCCATCAGTAGGGTTGCCACCTGTCCAGAATTCACCCGGACAGTCCGGGTTTTGAATGCTGTGTCCGGGTTTCATGGCAGTAGAAACCCGGACACAAGATGTCAGGCAGGCAGGGGCAACCAAAATTAAGATATGGGGCTA